CTATCAATAAGGAAAGTCTCTTACAATTAGAATAAAAAGTGTTCAAATGACCATATTGATTGTACCTCTGTCTCAATCCTTGGACCGTCGATGCTGATAGATTCAGTTCCCTTGCGATATCTCTAACACTGGAACCCTGAGATGTCAATTCGATGATTTTGATCCGAAGATCATTTGATAAAGCCCTAGGCATCAATAATAATTAACTTAAATTAATTTAACAAGAAAAAAGGTAAACAAACCAAAGCAACAAAACACATGGAACAAGCAAAAATTGAATGAAATTTTAATCAGTTTTTGATTAGATAAACTCTATGCGTATCTTTATTAAAAGTGTACGAAACTTAATGTATAGTGGCTGTATAGTCTTCCAAATTTTTTATGACACTTTCAGCCAATGAAGTTGGTTGGAACGACTTGATAAAATGAATCCATGAAAAGGTTTATTGTTCTTATTATCAGTTTTCTAGAAGTTTCTGGATTGTCTAATCTAACTATCTAACTATCTACTATAACTATTTTTTTATTATTTCATAATTATAGTTTCACATCTCCCTGACGCTTTTATGCACAGTCTTTGTTCTTGATCCACCAATAAATGTCTTTATTTTCCACCAAGAGATTACGAGCTTCAGGTCCAGAAGGTGATTGCGTATAAAGGTCTTTGAGTTGCTGATAGTTGGGGTTAGCTTTAAAAGGTTTCGGCTTATCTTTTCATAATTTTTGCCATCGTAAGGTTTACCTCTCTAGTCTGTTGAAGTCCAGCAGTGTCAGGCATGAAAAATCGGATTAAAGTTTTCAACGGAAGTATTCCATACAAATGCTGGAGGTTTACTATTTCTATATCGTATTTGACGAGTTATTTGGTCTGTGAATTCAAGGTGGAGTCTTCCTGTTAGTTCTTGTGCATCGCCTTTAATGATTGTTCTTCTTGACTTTATAATTTCTATCAATCGGCATCTTGCTTTAGACAAAGGGGCAGCTGTGTCGGATCTCAACTCACTGGTATGCATACTCATCGATGCTTCAGTGTATCGTAGATCTGTTGAAATTATTTCAGCGAAATAGAGAGTTTGAATACCAATGGCTCTTACGAGGAAACCAAATGAGAATACCATTTGTGGGAAACCATACTTGATGTCTACTCCATCGGTTACAACAGAAACAATTTGTTTAAGATTACCAGATGGACCTATCGGGATTGAATTTTCCAGTTTCTCCTCACCAAATCTTTGCATATTCCTCCCATCGTCGGTGTCTTCTTTTCTTGTTTGTAACAGCTTAACCGGTAACTCGTATTTTGGGTTCCTTAGGAGTGAGTTTACCGCTGATGAACCTGCAGTTTGTGGATAAATGTAGTAATGAACAGCATACCGCACAAGTCTGACAGTTTTCTATTCTATGGTCTACATCAAAAAAGATGGTACAATGAGTCGATGGCAATGATTTAAGCGATTTTACGTCTTGTAAGGTTACTCTGAGTCTGGTTTCTCCTTTCTTCAATCTTTCTGGGGCTCAAGCAGCAACTGATAATTTAGCGAAGTTTCTATTGTGTAATAAAGTGGTATAAATGCTGAAATTTTCTATTTCAAATTTTCAAATATAGCTTTACCAGACTCATCGAAGAATCTTCTAATTTCCGAGACCAAGATGCAATAGGAACAGAGACTTAACGTCCTGCATTTCGGCAATTCCAATGGTACAAACGAGAATTATTGAGAATTTTTGACGAACTAGGAAACGTAAAAATAAAGACAAAAAGACAAAATAAATGATTAGTTAATAAAGGTCACTTAAAATGATGTATTCATGAGAATCATGAGGTTCAAAGGAGGATTTTGTATTTAACGTTTTTATTTCGGATTATCGGCTTTTTTGGTTTGCGTTGGTCGCGTTTCTTTGGCTTCTGTTGGACTAAGGATACGACTATCGACTTACATGAATTTCCACAGGGTAATTCAATTTTTAAGGTTTCAAATAATTTTGGCATTGCATTCTTAGGTTGCTCCTGTAGTTTGTTGAATATCCTCTTGAGCTGCAAAGTATTTTGGACCATTTCAGAGTTAAGGAACATTGAAATAGGTATTGTCTTTTTCAGAATATACTCCCTACTTGGTGTTATATTGGATATCTATTTACGGTAGTCATCTATAAGGAATGTATTTGGTTGAATCAAATATGTAGCTGCACCTATCACTGCCACAGCCAGAAGTGTCGTCGTAACTGGCTTTAGTCGTTTATTTCTTTTTAATGCTGGACGAGCACTTTCAATGGGAGGTTGGAGTGGTTTGAGAGAATAATTCGTGTATTAACTATTCAGTTTACGGAGGCTAGGTCTATCATTCCTTTTCGATATGCAACTCCAGGAGGGAATCTATAATAATTCAATTTTGAGGGTGCTTTGGCTACTTCTAAGTATTTACTGACCTGCGGATGGAGTGCCAAGAGTTATGAGTGTTTTCAACCATGGAGTTTGCAAATTGCTTTTGAGAAAAATTTGTGCATCCTCCCAACGGTGTGAGTTTTCAACTTGTGACAAACATCAAACCATCTGAAAAATTTTCTCTATTAGAAAATCACCTTCGGATGTTAATTAGAGGTCGAATAGCGGTTGGACCTTGAATGACTTTCAGCGTCCGTAAATATAATTCTTCAATCTGAGTAAGCTCATGGTCCAAGTCTGAGGTGAGTAGCATCAACCGTTCCTGAGTTATGCTTGCAAACAGGCGTAAAATGAAAAAAAACGCCCGGTATTGTGAGGATTGATGTTACACTGGTTGGTCTCTTTGCCTTAGTTATCATTTGCATTTGAGCACCATTTACTCGTACTGGTAGTTTTGCCGTGTTCGGTTCCTTAACCAAGTAAGTTTTTTTGTTTTAACCAAGTATTTCATCCACGATTTCGTATGGACCTTCTTATTTTGCATCAAACTTGTTACTTCTAACGTTTTCTTTCTGAGTGTCTTATCACTAATTTGGTAGGTCTTCAGTTTCTTGGTGTTATCATGGTGTTCTTTTTATTTAGCTTTTCCTTCTTCTGAATTGATTTGAACACGATCTCTTATCGATGGTTTTACTGAAGACTATGACGTCGTCTATGTAAACCAGGCAAATCTTGTACTTTAAGCTGGCTAAATAGACATCCATTAATCTTTGAAAAGTCGCTGGCACTTTACATAGTCAAAATGGCATCGTCTTGTATGCATACATTCCAAAAACAATTGTAAAACCTTTCTTCATGCGTGCTTCCGGATCAAGTTCGACTTGATGATAGCCACTTCCTAAATAAAATAAACTGAAATATTTTGACCCTTGAAGATAATCCAATGATGTATTAATATCAGATAGCGGATAAGCATCTTTTACGGTGATTGCATTGAGTTTAAGGATATCAACACATAGTCTCCAATCACCAGTTTTCTTGTTTACCAGAACGCCAGGTGAACTCCAAGGGGAAAAGGACTCAGTGATAATTCCATCGCGTAGAACTTTCTGGACGAGCTGGTATGTCATCTCTCTCTTCTGAGCGCTTTGTCGATAGGGTTGTTGAGCAATGGGTGGATGATCACCAGTAACAATTTTATGGACGAATCTATTTGTTCTTCGAATTTCTTCGGCTGTAACTGCAAAAACTTTGGCCAGCTGCATTAATTTCTCTTTGGTTTCAGCAGTTGCAGACCCGTCGATGTTTAGTTCCATTTCGCTTGTGTGTTTGCCATGACTAGGTCAGTCTCCAAGTCCTCAACTTCTTCTTCATCGGTTGACGGTTGACTATCAGAGGAAACTTCCCTCAAGGCTCTCTGTTCACTTTCTTCAGGGGTTTCAGATGCAGAGAAGTTACTTACACTGGCTTGGGGATTATTAATAACTATTTTGTCTGTTCGGTTATCAAAGTTGATACCACACGGTTTGAGAATATCTCTTCCTTTGAGTTTATATATCTTCCCATATTTTGTTTACGCGGGTTTGATGAATGGCTACATCAACGAGTAAACAATGTTTCTTGGCCTTGCATTTGATTGAAACAGTAGTTTCTTGGCCCATGACAATGAAGTTGTGAAATTTATAGAAAAATGTCAAGAAATTGAAATACCATTGTCGTCCAGAATTATCAAAGAGGAAGACTTAATGATTGCAAATACAATGAGAAGACGAACATTGAAATGTAGCTCTAATGTAATTATCTATACAAACCAAGCCAATGCTTGGATAACCAAAGAAGTTTTCAGCTTATGGCGAAATATCTATCATCAGTCACTTGTTGAGTATGGTAAAAAAGTGTTGTTACTTTTAGACTATTTCAAAGGATATTGTGTAAATTTTGATGATTATCCAATGATCACCTTCAAATTCCTACCACCATCAACTACCTGTTATACTCAACTTTTAGATGGTGGCATAATCAAATCATCTAAAACTCGTAATTTATCATTATTTGTAAATTATTTAATTGAAAATTGCCAGTCAGGTCATGTAAGTGACAAAGTCAAAAAATTACTCTACTTGATTCCCTTCAGTAGGTAAACGAATCTTGGTAAAATGTAACTGAAGAGACGGTTTTTAATTAATAGTCTCATTTTGGTTTCGGAAACAAATTTCTAACAAATTCAAATTAATGAGTTAACTGATGATCTCGCAAAAAATTTAGAAACTCTAGCAATTTCTCACCGCAATTTATGTAATCAAGAAGATCTTGAACAAAACCATTTCGATTTTTGCAATTACTTGGATAATTAAAGAGCATTTGCTCGTGAAATAGTCGTTTGTGTTTGTTCAAGAGAGTCGCAATTACTGTTACTTCACTGTAGATGGAGCTGTTTTTTGGTCAAGATAAGTGAGAGTGTACTATACTTATTCTGGTTTTGAAATGGTTTTGGCTAGAGGTGTTCGATATGAGTATTTACACCATATCTGTAAAAATCGTATCGTTTAATTAAATATCGATTACATTTGAATATTCATAAATCGATAAATATCGATAAAGTAATGAGTATTTTACATTAACGAAACTGTGAGGGTAAAGATTGTAGAAAACATAGATTGTTTACATGTTCAGGCTTGATTTTACTCCTTTTTTCACTGATAATTAACCCTGTTTTAGAAAATAAACGTTCACATGGAACAGAAGTGGCAGGAACAGTTAAATATTTAATTGCAAGGTTATGTAATGGGTGCCAATTATCCTTATATTTTTCCCAAAAGAGTAAAGGATCATCGGTCAAGGCTATATTTTTCAATTCAAAATAGTGCTTGAGACCAGAATTGAGACCAGAGTCATGACTAGAAAGACGATCAACAAGTCGATTGTGAAGACTCCATAAGCTAGAATCAGAATTTTCTATCGGAGTAGGCTGAGTCAAAGGAACATTCCTTAACTTTATATTCAATTTCGAAACAGCAAGTGCACAATCTCCTGGACTTCTAAAATCAACCTTTTTAAATCTTGGATCAAGAAGTGTAGCAAATGCAAGTAGTAAATCCTTTTCAATTTCACCAAATCGCCTATCAAAGTTTTTGCTGAGATTTGATTTGAGATTTTTACCAATATCACTTGTTACTGTCACCAGCTCCATTTTGTTATAAATCATAGTGACCAGTGGTATAATTTTTGAAATTGTTACGTGCTGCTCGATAGTCATTTGGTAAAATGGTTGCAAGCACTTTTCAATTTCTTTCAACTTTTCAATTTCACTATAACTGAGATCCATCTCCTCTCTATCGTTTTTTCTTAATGCAGCTGAAAAAAAGTGACGCAACTCAATCATTCGAGACACCATTAAATATGTGGAATTCCACCTGGTAGGAACATCTTGATGCAATTTCAATGGCTTAATTCCATCCTTTTCTTGCTCTTGATTGAGTATCGATGTTGCTTTGTTGCTCTGTTTAAAATATGTCACTATTGATCGCACTGACCTAATTAAATTAACAAGTTCATTGTCATCTTCAATTGCATCATTTACACACAAATTAATTTTATGAGCTGTACATCCGATATGATGACCTGGAAAATTTCTCATTGCAGCAACCATATTTGCAGCTGAATCAGTCACTGTTGCTACGATTTTTTCACTATCAATTTCAAATTCAGTTAATACCAAATTAATAGTATCAATAATATTTACAGAAGTATGAGCTTCTTTAAACTCCTGCACTGCCAAACAAATGTTGAATTGCTTATGGCGATCTATGAAATGGATGGTGATTCCAATATAAGATCTTGAATTAAAAGTATCTGACCAAAGATCAGTTGTGATGGCAAAAAAATTTAACACTTTCATATGTTGAATCACTAATTGTTTTTTATTTTCAAACATTTTGACCATTTTCTCCGTGACAGCTTTTCTTCCAAGTGGCTGGTAATTCTTGTTTAAAGCTTTACAATATTGTTTAAAACCATCACTTGAAACCAAATTGAATGGTCGTAGATCATCAACTATCCACCATACAAGTTTTTCATCTATGCTTTCTTTTAAATCACCGCCTATAAAGAGTGTAAAAAAATTGTTAGTTAAAAAAACCAAACACATTGGTTATGTTTACTACTTACCTTTAATAGAAATAATTTGGTTAAATGCAGTATTCACTGGTGTTTGGTTCAAATTTCCACTCTTAAAATGTTTGGAATAAGTGCATGAGTGATGTGTTTGTAAGTGGTGTAGCACATTGGAAGTATTTCCTGATGTTTTTACTTTACTATTACATTCATTGCAAATAGCAACACCATCTTTCTTTTCAAAGAAATTCCAAACTTGGGACCTTTTTGCCATATTCACTTAAAAAATACAAGAAAAACTTAAAAACGGGCGAGAAATCTTCTGTTGGAAGCCTTGTGATCGCTTGTATTTCAACGATTTTTTTCAAATATATATCGATATATCATCGAAAATATCACAATATATCGAGAGAGAAATATCGATTTTTATCGAGTATTTTGATATATCGGAACACCTCTAGTTTTGGCAAAGGAAAGGCCTATTCGTACAAAAAACTTGTACGAATAGGCTTTTTGCCTATTTGTACAAATGCGAATTTCAACGCCATCTCTTGTGTAATTCAAACACTAAGCTTGATTTAAAAAGGTTAACAATAATTAGAATGAGCTAAACTTGAATATAAAATAAGTTTAGACAGTCCAGTGGTTAAAGAGTAGGTTAGAGCATTAAGATTTTGAAAGGATTGAGGGTTCAAAACTGGTCTGACTATTTTTTATGCCAATGGCTAAATCAAAAGAACGGTCGATAAATTGAAAAGCGCTTAATTTTTTGCTTCGATTGCCTTTCATAAATGAACAAAAGGCAATCGAAGTTCAACTTTGACCTCGATTTCCTCAGAGGAATCTTTAAACTGCACAAATGAACTCAGTTCTCATGTGCCTACAAACCAACAGAGTCTAAATTTCAAAGAAATTAATTTTTACCCGTTTTTTGCCCATTTCTGTCAATTTTTGTGCATAAATGTGGTAATTAGTCCTTACAAATTAACAAAGTCTCAAATCTTAACCTAAATAATCAAGTTTTTGACACTATTTCATAGAGTTTAAACAGACGCGCCGTACTCTTAAGCCAAATAAAAGTCTACTACATATCCAAGGATTAGAATCTTATCAGATATTTTTTTGTACGAATAGGGCTTACCTTTGGCAAAACCGTTTTGCATGTACAGTAAATCTTGTTGAAAAATGGGGTAACTCAACTCTTTTATTCCCATTATGCAGGATAATTATATTTTTAAATTATCTGATGATTATGTAAAATTTGAACCTGTCAGTAATGATAATATTGTATTTTTTGATGACCATAATCAACAGGTAAGGTATATAGTTTTTCCAAAATAATCTCATCTTGTTGGTTAAATGTTTAACTGTTTTGTTTATTTTCAATTTGTTCACATTTATCATGATTTAACGGTGATCACTCTTTATTTTTTTTATTTCAAATTACTTCAACTGGTAGGTGTTTATTTTAAAAAATGATGGATCTCAAGGAATTGAAGTCAAAAGCCCGACATCACATTTCAAACTTAATCTAACGTAAGTGATTATTTCCTAAATGGATTTATTTTTCTATCGCATGAGTATATTTATCTCAACTATTTATTGAATTGCAGGCTTGAAGATGTAACCAACATCAAATCGATTAAACTTTCACCCAGCTCTGACATATTGGCTTTGCAGCGATGTGGAAATTCAGTAGAGTTTTTCGTCTTTGACAATGAAGATACAAAATCAGTGTTTACTCAAACTTGCAAGGTAATTGTTTTTAAATTAATGAAAGCTGAATGAAATTTTTCTAATTGAAATCAATCCATCTTTTTAGAGCAAAACCAGCACTATAATTGGATATGTTTGGACCAGTGGAAATGAAATCGTTTTCGTTACAGATTCTGGTGTTGAATATTTTGAAATCAATAGAACCAGAAATTGCTGTAGACATCTTAAAAGTTTTAATATCACTATTAATTGGTTCATCTACCAGCCTGTTTCATCATTCCTGATACTCTCTTCAAGTCAAAATGGAAACTTGCTCCAACCATTTCATTTCAAATCTTCGACTATGTATAAATTAACCAAGTTTGAGGTAGAATGGTCAGCTAAACTGAAAAATCAGCGACCTTGTCTTTATGAACGAGATGTAGCTGTAGTCAACCTTTATAATCAAACATTTTTACTCGTTTTACAACATGAGGCTGTTACCAAAGAGGAAAAAGGATCTCAAATTTCAATTTATACTTTACAAAAGTAAACTTATATTCATATTTTTACACTCCATCTTAAAACCAATTCAAGTTTTGAATTTTGCTTTTATTAATCAACATCTTTCAACTCTTTTTTTAGGGAAGGGCCTGCTAGGAAAACGCATATACTTCAATTACGTCTAACTGGTCGATTTGCTATTAACATTGTAGATAATCTTGTTGTTGTTCATCACAAAACTTCACAAGCATCATTAATGTTTGACATTAAATCTCCCTCCGGTCAAATTCAATCTGGAATAACTTATCTTTCACCAATTCTTCAACCAAGTCCTATTGAACCGTTTGAAGTTGATGATTCAACTTTGTGTGAGCTTTGTAAGAATCAACTCTAAAGCTATATCACTTCTAGCCCAACCATTAACAACACATTAATTTACCTTCCAATCTAATTTCTTGAAAATTAAACCTTTCTATCACAGATTCAACCAATTGGGCTATATTTCAACCAGATATTATTATAGACGCAAAGCTTGGTTATTTTTGGAAATTGAAAGTCAATTTAATACCAATTTGCTCAATGATGTCAAATGATGGTCTATTACTTGATTTCCTTCTGCCAAGAAGTAATTCAAAACAAGTTATACTTAACCTATGTAAAGAAGAAGTGTGTCGACGACCCAAGGAATTCTCTAATATTAATCATCTTGGTAAAATTGGTTTCATATTTAACAAATTGAATAGCATCTATCGAGATAATGGAGAATCGTCAAAAAGTCTAATATGTAAACAAATTGTCGAAAACGATGCAAAAACTTCACCTTATATCGATCAGACTGATATGTTTTCTTCAGTATTTTCAGTTTTTGAAGTTAAATCCGAGGTAAAGTATAATTTTATTTAGCATTTTCATTGGATTTAGTATCATTGATTGCTAATTTTCATTTCTTTATTTTTCTTCAAACAGGACTCTAATGAAAATTTTGTCGTCTCTGTTTTATTTGAGTATATTTATTCACTCAACCGTTACAAAATTCCTGTTCAGTATTTAATTTATGAACTTTTAATCAATGTTCTGGTTCGCGGAAAAAAATTCTATCTTCTACATCAATTTTTACAATATCAAGTTTTAACACCTTCCAAGCAATTAGCATGTTTGCTGTTATCACTGCAGCCTCATTATCCTCATGCAACTCAACTGGCTCTTGATATGTTTCAGCTTCTTCAAGTTTCTCAGGAACATGTCATTGATATCCTTTTGTCTCGTTATGATATTTTCCGAGCAATAAGGTTTATTCAGAACAACGGTAATCCTGAAACAATTTCAGCTAAAAAATTTCTCGAAGTTGCATTATCATCTGGAGATGATCAATTATTTTTCAATACATTCCGATTTTTCGAGCAACGAAATTTCCGTCTAAGAGGATCACCAACATTCCTTGAAAGTAAGTAATTTTGATAGAAGAGTAAAATTCTAGAATTCAATTTATTGATTTCAATTGCCTTTTTGATTCAGGTGATTTATGTGAACCTTTTGTTGGAAAATTTGAAGAAATGTTTGGCAAATCATCAAGTTTTTGATATCAAGAGATCTTAAGATTAATTGGTATGATAATCCGAATTCAACAAATTTTAGCTTTGGTGCTTCCAAATCAAATCAATGAAGTGATATATTTATACAACCGAAATTATTTAGAAGCAAAAATTTTGCAATTTCTGGGGTTTTTTAATAATTTATTGAATAATAACTGTTATTTTATTTATTAGTACAACTGTATCAATCTATAATTATTCGGCCATGTAAGATTAAAAAGAAAAATAGAAAAATAAAATTGAATGAATGATTTTAATCTCGCTTAGATATAAATTAAAATGCATGTGTAATACAAGCTATTAATATCAAGTTTTAACTGTTATATCCGAGATTTTAAGTGTTTGAAATGAATATTTTCAGAGGAACCCAGAATTGGCGATATTTTTAGACTTAAAGAAGCTTATTCTATTAGCTTGATTAAATCAAACAGATTTTGTTGAGCACTGCTTCCTCCAAGTGTAATCTTGAGTATTCCTGAATGCCCTTTCCAGTTGATAACTTTAGAGCAGTTTTCCTCATTTATAACTGTTTTCACAGAGCATGATTTAGTTCCTTGTCAAAATTATCAATTTCAGTTTCATTAAATTTTAATAAAATGTAGGTTAGTAACCTAACGCAAAAATTTGGCTCTAAAAATCTCAATCATATGATATTCAAATCTGAAAGAGAGCGAAAAACTGAACAATCATTTGTTTGCATCAGTCTTCCTTGTTTTCAATAACTTGTAAGTATTGTAATATTAAATCATCTGCAATAAACTTTTTCACATTTTCAAAGCTGGTTTGTCTAAAATTGAATTAAACTTCCATCTGAGTAGATAAAAGAATATCCTCCGACCTCTTGTAACCTCCAGTTTGCAAGAAAATTCAGACTCATCATATTAACGAAGTGAGTTGAGTTTAAGATGAAAAAAGTAACCGCAACATCTTTTAAATGAACAACAGAGGTACTCTATTAATGAAAGGAATTTCGATACTAAAGGAAAAATTGTACTATTTAATTGGAATTGAAGGTGATTGCATAAATCGACTGAAAAATTAATAAGTTTGAATCATTAATAAAGGACATCCAAAATTATGCTTTGGTCAATCTTACGAATTGAGTTATTAATTGTTAGTGTAGACACCTGGTGTCACTTTATTCATTTCAAATTTAATCAGTATTTTTTCAAGTGTCAAGTGACTTCAATCTCATTAAATGATTAGACGATTAAAGTCCAGTATCATTTTTACATTTTCTGTCATTGTCTTCGTTAAACTTCTTTATTAATCTACAATTTTATGCAAGATCCATTCGAATTATGCTCGATTCTGTGACTACATTTGTTCGTTATGTTTTGGATTCCATTGCTTCCGGTGTCACCAAATTGGTTCCAGCAAAATGCGGTTTAATTGTTTTGCCTCCGATTAAGGATCCAATCATTTTACTTTCTGCTCAACAATTAGCAGAAAAAATCAAATCTGGAGAGGTATTTTGACTTCTATATGCTATTTCAAGTGTATTGTCTCATTCTTAATTTTGTCCTTGTGTTACTTGTCTGACAAAACATCTATCACTATTTCAGTATCTGATTCTCACCTTGACCATGGTTTTCATCCAATCTTGTGGATGATTCTCTTCCTTATCCAATATGAGCATCTATTTATCTTGTTTCATCTTAACCTTTGTTCTTTCAGATAAAATGTGTTGATGTTGTCAAGGCTTATAAGCAACGCATCGAAGAATGTGATCCTCTGGTTAACGCAGTGGTTGAGACCCGATACAAGGAAGCTTTAGAGGAAGCACAAACAATCGATGAAACTATTGCCAAGGAATTGGCGACCGGCGAAAAAAATTTAAGCAATTTACCCTTGCTTGGTGTGCCTTTTGCTGCTAAAGATTGTTTGCAAGTGAAAGGTATGCAGTTAACTGCTGGTTTCGTTCCTCGTAAAGGCTGTATTCAATCAGAAGATGCTGCTCTTATCTCCAATCTGAGAAAATTGGGATCCATTCCTTTGGTGATGACAAATGTTCCTGAACTAGCTGTTTGGTATGATTCTGCCAATATGTTGTATGGAAGAACCAACAATCCATATGATCTAACTCGTATTCCTGGCGGTAGCTCAGGTGGTGTAGCAGCTTGTGTTTCTTATGGAGGATCACCTTTTGGAACTGGATCAGATATTGCTGGTTCAATCCGATTTCCGTCTCATTTTTGTGGTCTTTTTGGCCATTTAATTACTCAAAAGGCTGTTAATATAGATGGACATTGGCCACCATTTTCAACAGAACAATCTGAATGCCTCTCAATTGGACCTATCTGTCGTTATGCAACTGACTTAACTCTTTTGGTCAAATCCTTCCTCGGAGATCAAGCTGAAAAGATTCCCAAGCTTGATCATCCTGTTGACCTAAGCAAACTTAAAATCTTTTACATGGAAGATAATGGTGGTTCAAGCAGTACGCCTGTTCACCCTGAAATTAAAGAAGGAATCAGAAAGGTATTATCCCTTTTCTCACCTTTTTTCAACATAATATGAACATGAATTATCTCTTGTTTTTTTCTTTAGTACACGAGTTGTTATTCAGGTTTTCTCATGGCTTCATATATTTCCTTTCCATTTGTTTCTATTTTCAATTTATTCTTTACATGTTACAACTACATGTAATTCATGATGAACTAGTAATGACATAAATTTCAGGAGTTATCTAGATGAAATGAACCAAATATGATAGAAAAGTACTTCTAATGTTATTTTTCATAATTTGTAACATTTAAGTTGTTGAATAAGATTAGGATCGATTTTATTTTAATAACTAATTAGATAATTTGCTTAGTTTTTCAATGACAAGTTTAGTTTGATTGAATAAAATTATCAACGTGAAGGTAAAACTATATGTTTAACCTAAATTTTACTACGAATGGCTATTAAACCTGAATTTTTATCTGTTTTAAGATTTGAAATTAGCCTCAAGCTTTCGTCAATAACCCTTACAAAATCATGAACAAGTACAAACCAAGGATTTTATCAATTGAGACAGATTGTAATAATCATTAAGTATATCAATTGAGTATTTTACTCGATAGTTTATATAAATCATTCAATTTAAATTGACAAAGTCAAGCTTGTATTTCGCACTCGTCTGACCCAAGAAAACGAATGAAAAGAAAAGCATGAAGTTTGTTCCTCTATATTCAGGGTTAATTGACTGTAATTTTGCTGATGCTGTCTGCCAATCATTATTATCCATTTGCTGGATAAATGCTTCTGTTAATCTAATTTTTTCAATTGTAAAATTAATTCCAACTTTTCCTTTTTCTTTCTTCCAGCTTATGAAGTGTCTATCAGATGATTATCATGCCAATGTAACAAAAATTAATATTCCCCACATGGATCAAGCTTTCGATATTTTTTTGAATACAATGAAGGATAAACCTCATATTCCACATACTCAGAAAATTGCCAATTTTGATGGACACAAAAATCCTTGGCTTGAATTGGTCAAGAAAATGGTTGGAGCCTCTGACCATACTTTGCCTGTTATTATTGTCTCTATCTTGGAGACATGTCTTGGTGATCCAAAATCAGAATCTGGTCGAGAGCTGATTCGCCGAGGAGAGATTATTCAAGAGAAATTGTTTTCCATGTTGGGAGATGACGGAATTTTCATTTATCCCGCATTTCCTGAGCCAGCAATCAATCATTACACTAGTATTTTAAAATTTCAAAATATTGGCTACTCTTCGTTGTTCAGTTTAATGGGCAATCCCATAACTACTTGTCCAATCGGTTTATCGAAAAATGAACATTTACCTTTTGGAGTTCAAGTGATGGCTTCACCTTTTAATGACCATTTAACCATTGCTGTGGCTCGAGCAATTGAGGAAAAACTTGGAGGATGGAAACCACCTAGTCGTGTTGAATTGAAATCAAATTAATCAAATTTCGCATGCATCTTCAATTCCTATTGTAATATTGATTCTGTTTTCTTTTTCTCTGTTGAGATTAATCCAAAATTTTGAGCTTTTACAGCTTCTTTTTAAAATGCTAAAAGTTCCTACGTTGAAGAAATTCATCTTGAATTTACACTTTTTACTTTATGCAAGAGATTAGTTAATTGTTAAAATATGCTGTTGCCTAGTTCAATTTTATATTAGCAATTGTTAATTCTAATCAATTAAAATCAAACTATGTAATTTTTTCCTGCTTTAAAAATTTAATATTTTCTGAAACACAAATTATTAAATGACGAATAAAGATTTTATCGCAAGAGTTGAACAACATGATTAAGTCTTAGAAATTTTGTTCTCCGTATGATGAAGACTTTGTTGTAATTTAATTTTTGAAAAATAGTCAACATACAACACAGCATGACTAATAGATTGTCAGTTTGTGCATAGGCTCAGAATAATTTTCCAGATTCATTGGTTCATTCAAATAACAAAGCGGAAAGTTAATGATCAATAATTCTCTTTTACTATTTATTACACTATACATAAAATTTATGGCATAAGGTATGGAGTAAAGTGTGATAAAGTGTCAAGAAATAACAAATTTCGTGGAAATTTATCGATTCAAATAATCATGTTGCATTTCATACAATATTTTTATCCAGATTATATTTTGTGAATTCAGAATCCAATTTTTGTTCACAATAGAAACAATGGATGGTATATTGATTAGCATAGTTGTAATTACCAACACTTCCACAAACAGTAGATGCAATACGTCCGAGATAAAATATTTTGGAAGGAGTCCCTGTATTGAAACGAAGGAAGGCTTTTTTACATGAGCAACAGACTTCAGAGCGAATGTGGATATAGTCTTCCATGTCATATGGTAAATGGAGGTAAAGTTTTGTAATTGAATCAAATTGTTGTAAAACTTTAGCTGCTGCTAAAGAAAAAAGGTCAGGTATAAGAAATGGGCGATCTTTAGGCTCGTAAGATGGACTTTGGTTGTTAGAAAGATCTATGCTGATTAATCTTAATCGAGAGCTAAGTTTTTCCATGAAAACTTGATTGAAACCCGAGATGCAGTTATTTGAAAGATTAAGTTCTTTAAGTTTGTCAAGCGCAGCGAAGGTGAATGGTAAACTATGGAGCTTATTATCACTGAGGTTAAGTACTGACAATTTTTTAAGCTTTCCAATGTGTAGAGGTAAAAAACGTAAACAGTTATGGGACAAATCCAGAGAAACCAAGCTCGTCATTCGACCCAAAACAAAAGGTTCAATTCGTCTGATCACATTCTGAGATAAATCAAGAATCTTTAAAGTTGAACAAATCTTTAGAATAGCTGGTGGTAATTCGCGAAGTTTACATTGAGTCAACGTTAATGAAGTTAGATTATGCAGATCCCAAATGCTTTTTGGTATAGGTGAAGTCGAAGTGAGAGTCACTTTCTGTAAAGACTTATTTTTGAATGCATCCTTTGGATAATTTTTACCGACAACAGAAATACTTGTAGGATTGGGCTTGATTGCTTCATTAGTAGACATCAATGGCACTCTTGCTTGATCCATTTTACCGGTGGCTAAGGCAGCGCATTGCTTCATCAATACTTTCAATTGATAACTATCAGCATCTTTTAAATTGACTATACGATTAGGCTCCCTGAATTCCAAAGCAGCCGAATGGATTTTCTTCAAACTCTCGATCGAAAATTTGTAAGATTTTTGAGCAGTTGTAACCATCAAAAAAGTCGTCTTTTTTTGTTTACATAATCCCACTTTAGCTCTAGACCATCTACCCATTTCACCATGAGCATGTACCGAAACAGCACATTCCAAGAGCATGTTGGCAGAAATAAAGATGATATAAACTTGGATAGAATGTACAATTACAATAAAAAACGAAGAAATTAACAAAGAGTAATCGCTAAATGATCAAAAGAAATGTCATCCTACATGAAAACAAAAAAAGTGACCAACATGAAAAGCGCGGTAAAAAAAGACATTATTACAATAGATGGCGACACCTGAGATATCACATGTTAAACTGAATTTCAATTGTTGATAAACATCTGACGGAGTTTTAAATTTTTTGTTTCTGTATTGATTTAATAATCTAACAAATTCCTTACTATTATCTTAATTGTTCTTTCCAATTTCCAATTTTCTATTCTTCTATCTGCCTTATATTAATTATGGGTTCGCTGGCAAAGACCAATAAGGCATTTCAACGTCTTCATCGAGAAAGACATCAGGTAAGACTCACTGTTCTTGCAAGTATTATTTTCTCTGTTCTAATTCTTGTAAAAATTATTCTTATCACTTATCTATATTCAGCCGGACAGTCGAAAAAAGTTCGGGTTCCTCGAGAAAAAAAAGGACTACAAAACCCGTGCTCTGTAAGTTTCGGATCTTAACTCTTGACCTTTTGATGGATCATCGTTTAACACAAGGCATTTTATATTTACTTACTAATTGTCTTTCCAATTTTTTCATTTATTCATTTTAGAGATCATCAAAAAAAAGTGAACACTATCAAACTTTTGAAAGAGAAAGTAGCTAACAAGAATCCAAATGAATTTTATTTTCATATGATGAATTCACAGCTTGTTGATGGCAAACACTTTGAAAAAAGAAAGGACACTGAAAATGTGAAAGAAATAGAGGATAAAAATATTAAATTTCTAAATTGGCGCCGAGGAATTGAACTGAAAAAGATCGAAAAATTGCAATCACAATTACATTTTATAGACGTTGATGATAAACCAGCAAATAAACGTATAATTTTCAAAGAGGAAGGACCAAAAAGAAAGTTAAAAGCAATCGAAGTTAAACCCGGAGAAAGCTCTAAACCATCTCAATCCAATGATTCACCTAAGCTTGATCAACTACCCATCAATTTACCTAGTAAAGTAAATAAGAAAATGCTAGCCAAATTGGCAAAGGACAAAAACAAAGCTTATACGAGGTTAATGAATGAGATTGAAAAAGAAAAGCTTTTAAGGAATCTTATAGAGAAACGTGATTTCAAATTACAAAAACCTAGAAAATCAAAAATGGATAAATTTAATGAAATTGACTAAACTATATCCAATAAATTATTTTTCGCTATACATGTTATCAAGATATTTTTTAAATTTTGAGTTTGATAAATTCCATTTCCTTTGTCGTCAAGATGTAAGAGTTATATTGTTATAACCAATTCGTGTTATTAATTGATTATGAATGGTTGGGGAGCTTGAAGTATTAATATCAATGTCTTTCTGCTCATTTCTTTAATTGTCATTGCATTTTCCTCCGATAATTCGGTGTGTTCCCAAGGTTTATCATGACTAGACATTTTTTTAACCTTTCTTTTTATTTGATCAAATGGATGATCATTATTGTCAACTAAATGTCCAATGTTAACATTTCTTCTAATCTATCAACTCTTAGCTTATACAAAAATCTTAAACAAAGTATTAACTCAAAATGTATTGTAGCTTAACAATATTCATAATTATTGGTGTTTGTTTAGTTCTTGTCTTAATTTGGCTGATAACTTGCTGTTTCTGGAATTGTTTATGCTGCGAATGTTGTTTTGATCTTAAACATAAAACTGTTCGCAGTCCGATTGCTGCTCGTCAAAGTATAGTTTCTTTTCGACGACCAACACTGTTTACAATTTAATCTTTTTCGAGTCAATACTTTGTTTAAATTTAATCAGATACAATGTTTAAAACAGCTAATCAGTTGTTTGAACCGTAAGTGTACTCAACGAAATCATGTTTACCATGTTTATGGTCGATTTAAACCAGCTGGCAGCACTGAAAAGTGGTGATTCTCTCCTAATCTGGTTTTGTTAATGTTTTATATTTATCTTTTGTAATTAATTGTTTTCTTCCTCATCTTTTTTATTGTTCATTGATATGGACAAGTTTTTGGTCGATTTAGACTCTGTATTGGACAGATTAGAAGCCGAGGATGCTGATAGATGTTCCACAGAAAATGATGAGCCCTGTGATATTTTGGATTCAAAGCTTTATAGAAACAGTGTTTGTGATAAAAGTAAACAGGTTGGATTCAATCATTACCACAGAGAGCCAAATGCAGTAAAATCAAATGACACTGATTTAGCCACTGCCTCTGGTGGGCTTGATTTCCTGCTTCCATCTGAGCCAAAATCCTCCAAAATTTCTCTGGAGAATGATCTATCTGGTAAATTGAGTGATTCTACCATCAAACCTGAAAGCAGTGATGTCAAAAGTGTTATTGATAGTGTAATATCTCAAATTGAGCAAACTGAAACTCAGCATTTCATTGAGGTCAGTTGTGAATCAATTGAGAAAACGAGTGTCACTGGTACTCAACACCAGCTTAATAGTAGTGGTGATTGTCTGAATGATGCTGTTCTCGCTTATCTTGGTAGCACTGCTGATGATAAAAATATAACTGGTGATAATGAAGTTGATAGTCAATTAATTAACTATGACTATGGTGGCTCACTTACTTCCCATCAAGACAATAGAATCCAACAATCGGTGAATCTCGAGCAAACATCCAATTATAATAGTTGTGTAGAATCTAAACAAGGCCTTGGAGTGAAAATTGGACTCAGCAGTTGTGAAAAGGATGAGTCTGTTTTAAATTCTGGTGAAAGTGCTTCACAACTTAAGGATAAATCAATGGCTGAAAAGATTGATTCTATTGTTGATCCCAATGAAAATAGTATTAATGATGACAGGATGGATTTATTAAGAAATCCCACCTCTTATTATAATTCTGCTTCTACTTCTACCACTACTTCTACCAATATCGAAACCGAGAATTGTACAAATCTTATGCAAAGTGATTCTGATAATCAATTGAGTAATTTTCATTCATCATCTCTTTTGATTTCATCGCAAGCTAGTGAAAAATCTGAAGAACCTCACATAAATTTAGTTGAAGATGTATCAACTGAAGAAGAGATGACAGAAGAAGAGGAGAAAGCCATGGAAAAAGAATTAGAATCTGAGTTGCAACGATTAAACTATCAATCAGAGTCAAATGATTTGGAGAAGGATGAAATTGAATCTAAAATGACAACAGCGTCAACATCATCTACAACATCATCAACTCAATCATCACCTTTAACATCAACTTCATCTCCTTTATCGACATCATCCTCTGTATCAGTTTCATTATCGAAATCAAATGTAATGCCTGAATCCAATAGTGGACAAAATTTAGATTGTTCAAGTGAATCTCATCAATCATCAACCAATGAATCTTCTAATGATGGGAATACCAATGAGACTAGGAGGGAAGAAGAAAATCCTAATAATAGTGGCAATAATGATATTAATGTATTCACCAAACCCATTCGACCAGCATCTCTTCCTATTTCTAATTCAATCCAATCAAATCAACCTGAACCTGTGAATGAATTACCACCTTCACCTCCACCTACCTCGAGTTATGTTGAACGTGATGTTTTGCCCGAAAATGTTCAAGCCCCGATGTCAAGTATTGGCTATTTTAAGCCTTTCTGGATACCCGATGAAGAAGCTTATTATTGCATGATCTGTGAGGCAAAATTCACCGTAATGAAGAGGAGACATCATTGTCGTGCTTGTGGTAAAGTTTTATGCGCTCAATGTTCTCGCGGTAAAGCACCATTAGCCTATCTTTCGTTCAAAGAAGCAAGAGTTTGTAATCAATGTCTCCCATTGTTGACTGAAGGTTTGAATTTATTATTACTATTGCTTTATTAATGCTATCGATTTTAATAATGATAGATGTAAATACCGATACCTTCTTTTCTAATTAATTTAGATGCACTGATTAGGTTGTGTCTAATCAACAGAGAAAAGTATCGAGCGCATTGATCGGTATTATCGCTACTATCAATGTCATCAATAATTGTTATTGTTATTTATTTCATCAAATATCTTCATTTTATGCTTTATAACTTTCAAATCGATACTATTATTTATCTGAATGATTAATTTGATCTTTCATTTTTTATTGATAATTTGTGATTTATTCCAGGAGTAAACAATTCTGGTCATGAGAACTCGCAAATCTTAAATGGACAACAACAACATGGAGCTGAAGGTCTTCAAACACCAAGTGCTCCGCCTCCCCATCAACTGTCATCAGCGTCAACATCATCTTCTTTAGTGGCAAGAGCATCAGCACAACCCCAATCTTCATCGTCTACTATTCAACCTGTTAGTGTTTTACGTCGATCTTCCAAACCTCGAGGCGAACCAAAACAGGTAATCTTTTCTGATGGAATCAGGCCTGGAAATGATTTAAAAGATGACCAAGTTACATCGGTTTCTCACAGGCGTCATGCTAAAAAGGTTAAATCACCACCAATCGAGAAAAATCCTTCGTCTCCTGGTTTTACTTCTAAGTCTCGCACTTCTAATCGTATTGTTATTCAAGATGCTAATGGGCAATTACCTCCAATTATAAATAATCCGTCTCTACAATCAAATCCATCCCTGGATAACTTGATGTCTTTATTAGAGCAGAGTGATGAACCTCCGATTACATTTAGTTTAACTAAAAATCTAATGGCCTTGGTAAAACTTGTTAAACTAGATTGTTGTACAAATGAACACTGTTGGACTTTTACCAGTCGTAATTTAGCTGTTGTTGGTCAAGATGAGATTATTGTTGTTCTTGAAAAAGTTTCTGGTGAAAATACTATACCAAGAGACATATTTCGTCTCTTTGCTTACATTTATGATTCAGCAAGTAAAGGTAAATTATCATCAACATTGTAATAAAGCTCTGAATGTTCATTATAATGCTACCATCTTCACAAAAAATTAGGGAATTACCTCACTTTTATAGCAATGTTGACATGAAATATGGTAGCCATTCAGACACATTATCTTTTAATCATACTTGCTATCAACCCCTTTTATTCTATTATATTTCAATTTATTCTTTTACTTTTGAAGGTTTTCCTTTCTCGGAGCTGAGCCATATTTTGAATCCAGAAGGATTTTTTGGATGTAAAGATTTCCCAGGATTTGTTTTCATTCGACCAACATTCCAGTGTCTTAATAAAATAACTCTTCCTTCAGCACCCTTTTTAGTCGGAGTATTGATTCACAAGTTTGAAGTACCTTGGGCGAAATTATTTCCTTTACGACTCATTCTTCGATTGGGTTCTAAATATCGCTGTAAGTGGCAGATTCAACTATCAAATCTATTGATTACTTAAAGCATCTTCATAACATTAAATTGATTTGATTTATTTTCATTTAGGCTACCCTTGTCCAGTTGTTAGTTATCGCCAACGAAGGCCCTCTTACTTTGAAATTGGACACACTGTTATGGATATTTTAGCAGTAAGTAATCTTTTATACCATTCAACTCATTAGCTCTTTCAAATGTTAATTAAAATGCTTTCTTTTGTAGGATTTTCGTAATTTTCAATATACTCTACCTGTGATACCTGGATTGACTATCCATACTGAAGCCAAACGGACAACAGTTACTTTCCCTAAAAATCGTTATGACAAAGTTATGAAAGCTCTAGGATCAAGCAATGAATATGTATTATCTTTTGGGGGAACTTTCAGTTTAACGGCTGATTCACATTTAACTTGTATTCAAAATGACGATGGACAATATCATACGCAAACAATAAAACTGCCTGTGAATGAATCAGAACCCAAGGTTACCGGGGCCAGTTTCATTGTTTTTAGTGGAGCTTTGAAATCATCAACAGGAATGTTGGCAAAGATGAGTGTTGTTGAAGATGGTTTATTGGTTCAAGTTACTGCAAACAGTTTGAATTCGTTGAAATCTTCTCTCAAAGATATGAAAGATTTCACTATTGAATGTGGCAAAAAAGATAATCCGACTTCTGAAGAAAGTGTTTCTCTTGTTTGGGGGGAAGACGATAAACAATTTAATTTAAGGTAAACTAATTCTTATCTAATTTGGAAAAATTAATAGAGGAAATATTCATAATTTCGTTTTATTCTCTTTTCTTTACAGAGTTCGAAGTTGCATAGATGGCCTTTCTTTAGAAGGAATTCGAAGCATAAGAATGTACAACGGAACCGATTTTGAAGGAGACAAATTTTTAATACGCTGGGTTGAATTGTTTCTCATTCAAAATACAGAGCTTCCAAGAAGGTAAAATTTCGAATCAAAATGTTCTTGTGATTATCTTAATCTTAAATATTGACCATTTCATTGTCTTTTTGCTTGCAGTGGAGACGGTTATGATGCTGGAAGAGCAGCAGAAATAATTGCTCAGTCATTCTGTCCAGCCTTAGTACCTTGTCTAGAATCATTGGTTGATAACAAAATTAATAAAATTGGTTTAAGGGTTACTTTAGATTCGGATAAGGTATTTTATTGCATTTATGATTTAATAAAATAGGATTTTAAATTTTTACTCAAAATTAATTCTCCCTTCTTGATAGATTGGCTACGATGTTGGCAGTAATGGCTCACCTTTACCACCCAATTATGTTGATCGCTTAGATGCAGCCTTGGTACCAATAATAATGGGAAACATTGCACCAAACTTGGAAGTTCGCCTTGTTATTGAATTGATATTTTATATTTTAGTTAAATGATTACTTATCAAAGCAAAATATTGTTATTTTAGTAATTTTTTGTCTATTGTTACCCTAGATAGAGATTAAAATCAAATGATTGAACTTTTTAACAAATCAGTACATGTTAAAATGTAACGATTTGGCAAAATACTTATGAGTGCAAAAAAACTACACAAATTGCTAACTATTTTAAAAACACCGAGTCACTCATTAAAAAATACAAATCAATAGTAAATATTGCAACTTTTTCCCTTTCTGTAACAAACATAAGATCTAATAAAGGATTTAAAGTTTTAACCTTTAATAGCTCAAATTTAATCATTTAATGTCTGGATTGTAAAAAATGCTCGTTTCGATCACTTAAGATACTTCGACAAATGTTTATCACTTGATATTTCGAGCTTCAATTGAAAAATGGACTACTGTTTACACTGGATCTAGAAAACGCCAAATTTTTGTTTTCTTCTCGTGACTTTCATTATTTTTAAATAATTTAATCTTGACAATATTTGTTAAGATTAATTTTGAATTTAGGAAAATAAGCGTAGATTAAACCATTACCACGAACAGTTGAGAAAATTAAAACCGAAGACTGAAGACTGGGTTTTATCATAACTTCGAGTGGTGTAAACGTTTGTTATCTATCACAATTTATATAAATAAATGAATAATGATTGAAAAAAGGTCTCTTTTAAAGACCAAAAATGGCTAAATGCCAATAATACTTATAATTATAAGCTTTATTGTATTGTTAGAATTATTATTTAAACATGTTTTAAATGTTTTTATTCAATGATGGCCATTTATGGTCTTTTAGACAAACTCGTTAAAATACGTTATTATAATAAAATAGCGGAAATTAATTGTATATTGTGATACGATAAATAGGGATTTTGAAAAGTCTATTACAAAAAAAAACTGCACATTCAATTTCATTGAGTCTGAAAACTGACTGTTCAAGACTTGAACTTCAAGATGCATTCATTGAAGAGTTACCAGCTGATGAAAGCAACAGCGATGCTTTTGTCTGCATTCAAGCTGGAGCATATCTTAGGAAGATCTCAATGATCCTGCTGCTTTGTTTTCTTTTCCATGTTATTTCTCCCTCTTTTTATTATTTTGAATTGATCTTCTAGTTTATTTTATTTATTATGTTTACAAAAGTGAAGTGGAGATGAGACCTCTCATTGAAATAATGCCTGGTTGATTAGTAGTTATAATTTTTAATATGTTTGTATTGGTCACATTTTTTTCAATCTGATGTTCAGTCAAATGCAACTTGTATCGTCAAATTCAAAGGAATTCATCCCTCGTGTAAAATAAAATAATGGCTAGCAGTTTATCAATGGTGCGAGCTGCTGCTATTGTTTGTTTCTTACTATTCATAATTTCTTTGTTAATAATTGGTTACCTTTGCCCTGATAATGTTTGTTCTCTCACCAACTGGTCTTTCTCCGAGTCAAGATACAAATTATGGACTAGGTATAGTTTAAGGCACATACCAAATCACATTGGTAAATCTCTGATGTACATGGAGTCCAAAGGAAATGAATTTGAGTCTATCGAGTCAATAAGATCTATGCGAACCACACATAGAATAGTGAATCCAAGTAAAAAGCTTAATACCATGTCTTTCGACCAAATTGTTAAAGATCCTAACTTTATGTTTGATATAAAAGGTGATGATGTTATGGTGTTTCTTCATATGCAAAAGACAGGTAAGAAAAATGGTCAATTTTTATTTTACTTCAGTTGCGTTAACAATTTATTTTCTATTCTCAATTAGGTGGTACTAGTTTTGGTCGCCATTTGGTTCGTGATCTTGATCTTGAAGCTCCTTGTCAATGTAAAAAAGGAAAGAAAATTTGTAAATGTATTCGCCCAAATTCATCATCGAGATTATGGCTTTTCTCAAGATATACGACTGGATGGAAGTGTGGTTTGCATGCTGATTGGACTGAACTGGTCAATTGTGTTGATAGTGTTATGAACCAAAGTGAACGCACTAAAGTCTCAGATCGGCATTATTTTTTTATCACTCTTCTTCGTGAACCAGTTTCAAGATTTCTGAGTGAATTTAGACACATCCAGAGAGGTGCAACTTGGAAAAATAGTCTACATCTTTGTGGAGGTCGACCACCAGCACCAGAGGAAATTCAACCTTGCTATACTGGCGATGATTGGAGTAATGTGTCACTACAAGAATTTATTTCCTGTCCATATAATTTAGCAATAAATCGGCAAACTCGAATGCTGGCAGATTTAACTTTAGTTGGATGTTACAATCATTCAATCATGTCGGAACATCAACGTAATACCATTTTACTTGCTAGTGCTAAGGAAAATTTAAAAAGGATGGCTTTCTTTGGCCTTTGTGAGCAACAAAAAGTGTCTCAATATTTATTTGAGTCAACCTTCAAATTATATTTTCTTCAACCCTTCATTCAACTTAATGAAACTCATTCTTCTTTGGCTCAAGACGAATTGGATAAATCCATGTTGGATAAAATTAAATGGTTAAATCACTTGGACATTGAATTGTATCAATACGCTCAAAAACTTTTAAATGAAAGGTTGAACTTAATGAAAGCAGCTGACCCTAACTTCAATTACAACTTCAACCATCTCGGTCTATCCAAAAAATCAGAGGCTATGGTTAATCGAAGTCAATTTATTTCAGATGATCCAGACGAATTATCGCCAGAAATGAGATTGATCCGAAAAGTGGAACAGCTCAAGAAAAAGCGATTAAGTGACAAAAAAGCTCAACAAACACTCTTAATGCAACATTCGCCGTAAAGACTCAAACAAACATCACAATGCAACAAACAAATCTTAACTTGTGTTAATGGATGATTTTCAATCAAATCCGAAATTTGTTTTATTATGATAATCAAGTTTACGATAAATTTGAAATCACCAAACACTTATTTTTCTGTAATGGACCCCAACTAGTTCGTATTGTTACAGCTATGGTTATGGTTAGCTGTCTGTATTATAGCATTTAAATCTGAACGATTCTTTCAATTTCATTTGTGAGTTAATGGTTAGCTACTTATTAATTTTTGGCTTTTCCTTAATTCATCCGAATATTTGGAGATCTCACCATTAACACAAGCTGGGTTGTTATCATGCTTCATCTTAAATCGTCTTGTATATGATATCAATATAACTGCACATTTCTATTTTACATTGTATCAATATCAATCTAACCTGGACAGATCTCATTTTACGATTTCCAATTCATGTGCTTCCAATAATTAGCCATAATGAATTTTTCTATTGCAAATCTTTACCAGAGAAGAAATTAAACTCAAAATTGAGAGTTCTGCTAATCAGCCAATGGAGTTGTGACTCTAGTGCCATTCATGTGATCAAAGTGTTCTTCAGAAAAAAAACTGTTTCTTCTCTTCATTTACCATCATCTTTCAACATTATTCAATTAATTTTCTTGTCATCATTTCTTTACCAACTTCAAATCAATTGATCTCATATTATTGTATTGATTGGAAATTTAAATCATCAATTTGAACCATTTTTTGACCATTTTTGAGATCGTTTCAATTTTAATCCCAATCGATATTTGTTTCAATTAATTATGCATCAATGTTTGGTCAAATGGTTACAAAGTGTTTGTGTAATTTGACTCACGAAGATGAATAAAAAAGTCAATGTTAAACGACAAAATCTCAATTTATTTAAACAATTGAAAGTTCCATGATTTCTGATTAATACATATCTTTTTGCTCATTTCAATTAAAGACAAGTTAGACGACTGTCACCAATTTACATCAAATTAGCTCTTCCAAATGATTTCTTTAAACATACCTATTGAAACGTGAATAATTAAAACCAATCTTCACTTGATTCACTTAAACTTACCTTAAAAACTTCTATTGCTTCAGGTGGACTATTCTTTACCACACAATCTTTAACCTGTTCAAATGAAACAAAATTAATTTAATTCCTGGCAATCGATGTCTTTAAATGGGCCTTAAAGTTAGTTACCGCTTCAATCTTGGGTTCGCTGGTTCCAATATCTGAGCACACTTTTTTCACATCATCAGAGGTTTCAAGAGGTAAAATATCGCGACATTTTTTCAAAGATTCTTGAACTTCTGAGTTGAATGCTTTGAGCTGAAAATGTCAGAGAAAAAGATGGAAGAAAATGAATTCGGTTGATTAAAATCGCAATAAATCAACATAAACTTACAGCACATTCATCACGAATCTTGCGACGCTCATCGAATTTTCCGTTTTTTAAAAATTCTTCTAGTTCTTGACAGATATTAGTTAATGTTTGTTTACCAGCCTCAGTAGATGAAACTGTCAAGAAGATGAAACACATTAATAGAAGTATTTTCATGATGGAAAAGACTTTAGATTTAGTTGAATCTGAAGGATCAAAAGATGTTAAAAACAGACTTGATCAGGCAACAGTTCAATTTATAGTGAAAATATCAAAGCGAATTGAATCTGTGCAAATAATGAGGATAAAAGTTATTAATCATGATTTTCACTCAACAATTAAATAAATAATGTCAAACTTTTATTTTGCTTTTGATCATTTCATGATGATCTTGATCATAAATATTAATTTAAGGTAGGTTCCAATATTTGTCAAGTGTTGGGATTATTTGAAGCTTCAAAATGTTTTACATTTTTTCACTATGATTAATGGTTAACAATGAAGGTCTTGTCACCATTATAATGAAAATATTTATCATGTAAACATAGCTGATATTTTGACTGAAGACTCGAAAAATTCTGTAAAATGAAAAGCTAAATAGTTGAAATACATCATTAGAGATTTAATTGTTGCAGATTGCTCGATCGCTTGTAATCATAATATCATAAATTATGGTTCATAATAATTAAGCCCGAACAAAATATTATATAAATATTGGTAAAAATTTTGGATGAGTTTTGTTTCATATTATGATTGATACTGAAAGCTATTCCTTATTTGGGTTGTTATCACATACATATGCACAAATTGACACAAATGAACAAAAATGTGAACAAAAACAACAATTTACTCTGTTAGCTTATAAGGACATGAAAACTGAGTCCATTTGTGCGATTCAAAGATTTATTAGATGAAAAGTTTTAGAGAAAATCGGTGTCGAAGTTGAAAATTCGATAGCCTTTTGATCAACTATAGAAGCAGATTTTTTCATTCTCAATGCCAAAGTTTTGAGAACAATATCCAAAACAAGAAAACTGTTGTTGAAGAAAAAAGTATTTGATCCTTGATGTGCCCAACAATTTTTATTGACAAATATTAAGCTTCAGCTCTCTGACTCTCATGATCTCTGATTGCGATCGCTTCAACCAACGATCGAACTAATCCGTTTTCCCTACATTTACCTAATTTCCCTACAAGTACCACTAAGTCTCAGCTCTTAACTCGAATGCCCGAGTCTTTGGCAGCACTCTTTGCAATACTCTTGCTAGTTTAACCAGAAAATTGGTTTTTTAACCAAGAAATGGGTTAAGATGAGTTTGTTTTATTAAATGAGTTGTTCCTCGTCTATTTACAATTCAAATATCGTAAACCAAATGTACTGATGGAAAGTAATGTAATTCATTAGTAAAGAATTAAATTGGTGAAATAATGATGAACGTAGGTGAAGCTATTGTCGAAATATCCAGGCTCAAAGTATAAGAACAATGGCCAATATCAAGAGAACTGTTGTTAAATTGTTAAAAGTATTTAATCCATAATGATTAATAACAAATTTTATCAACAAATACCAAGTTTTAGCTCTCTAACTCTTAACTCTTAAGTTATGTTCACAGATCGCGGTCGGTTTATATAAAAAGCGAACTGATCTAATTTACAGAAAAAGAAAAGTTATATTTCTCAAAATAAGTGCTTTGTATTCAAGATTTTATCGAAAAATTTACTATCACAAAGAAATTTAATTTCACAAATGGACTTCATTTGCATGATTTGAAATTCAAAGTTTTTGCAGGTAATCCTTCGATGTCCATTGGACTTGCAATGTTTCACTTGTTGTCTCATTCTGGTGAAATGAAATTTGAGTTTATGCTCTTTGATGACTGTTAAAACTGGAAAATGTGTTCTCCTTGTATTTAATTAGGAATGAGCAATCAATAATTGCTAATGTGACAATTGAAGGCAAAAATGAATTAATTAGCAATCATTAGGATCCAATAAATATCGATATTTTTGCCAATACAAGTAATCGATATGCGGATATTTATAATGCGCGGTAAAAACACTTTGTTTTGTTTTGTCAGTTTTTTTGTGTTTTGATATTTTTTGTATTTTAAACAACATCGGTCATTCATATTTCTGTGGTTTTTAATTGTGTTATTTATCTTAATTTACAACCCAAGTAAAGATGGTCAACTTTACTGAAGAAGATAAGTCTCCAGTGAATTCAATCAATGACAATTCAACCATCGTTTTGATCAATGAAATGTCCAATTTGTTGCAAGTTGATCTCGATTTGGAGTTGATGACGATTTGTCAGAGGATGGTTGAGAGAGGAATCAATCCTAAACTGTTGGCCCAATCAATTAAGGAAATAAAAAAGCAAAGTTGATGAAAAACCAGAATCAAGTGAGACCAAGATAGTCAAAGTAGAAACTCAAATCTGCAAAACATCGATTGAATAATGGCTAGGAAATCTTGTATTTAATCGAGACTAATTTTCTCATCTTTAAAGTAACCTTTCTGATGAAATTAAATTGAATTACCATAATTGCCTGATAAAACATTAAACTTCATTTTATTCAATGTAATCAACTAAACTTGTATTACTGATCTAAAAGTTAAATACTCAAACTTGTTCCATATCAATGCTATAAAACTTAAGAGAACATATTTATTTTTTAACTGTTTGAAGTTTATTTCTACAATTAAATATAACATTCAATTTAAATAAGAAATAATTTTTCAAAATAAAAAACTTAAAAATTATTTTATTAGAATTTAATTTTGCTATGCTACAAGAGATGGCAGCAACAAACATTCTAGAATGTATGTGATTGGCTGTTACTGGAAGTTGTGTAATTTAAATTTGAATCGTTGTTTATCTTATGTGACTTTTATATCGCATCTGTTCTTAAACCAACTGACACCCGTTGAAATTGTGTTTATCATTTTTATTTTTTAATTGTGATCTTCAGTTAAATTGAAATCAAGTCCGTGTTATTCATTTTATTTCACATCTAGTAAATTTACGGTTGTCTTTTTGAAAGTACGTGACATCGACCAATATGGGTTCAATAATTTCAAAGGAATGGTTTCATGAAAAGAAAGAAACTATGCTTTCAACTCCGAAAAACAAACGAATCGTTAATTTGGGAATTGATCCAAGATCTCCTGGAGTTGGTCGAACTCCTCTTCAAGTATGTGTTAAGGATGGAGCAAACGAAAGCACCATGGGTACTCCCCTGCGAGCCAACTAGCCAAGCGTTTGTTTATCATTAAATCTAGTTCAAAATTATGTCTCGACGTTTTAAAGTTTAAATAATGATTTTTAATTTCCTATCAGTCGATTAACAGTTCTGAATGCTGTTGAAGTATGCTGAAAAATGACTTGTATATTAAAAGTATCCAAGATTTCATTCGTAAATGCTACAATTCATACTTTAGCGGTTGACGATCTAACAATATTGTATATAATGAAGCTTTCACAAAGACTTATCAATTCATCAATTGGTGAGAAAAATTTTGAATAAATTTCCATGTTATAAAAAATTCACTGACTCTTTTTAATGCTTCTTAACCGATCAGGAAAATACTTTAGTTCCATATTGCTAGTTTAATTTTCATATCCTATCAACATCTGTGGTGTGAGAAATGTTAAATTTTATATTTTTAATCGGCTTGGAATTAAGTATATTTATTTTTTAAATATAAATTAACTACCAAAGTGATGAAAGGAAACCGAATCGTTTTCGAGGTTTTTTTGGGGATTGTTCAGATTGTTCAATTTGCTCCGTTTGCTCAGATTCTTGTCCATCGCCTTCAAGTATGAAGAAAAATGATCGAATGTAACTTCTACAAAGTGGACATTTGTCGATTAGTCCATAACAATCACAGCATATGCATGCATGTCGACAAGGTAATAAAGCTCGTGAGATTGCTTTATCTTGGCATATTACACACATCGTAACTGGTCTTGAAGCTTCATCAACTGTTCCTCCTGGAGTAAAGAGTGATTGTAAGCTGTAAACATTGCCGTAGCGTAACTTGGTCAACTGTGTAATTATATTGCTGTCCATAGGACAAATATTATCCCTTATATGTAACACATTCGCGAGACAAACAATCTCGTCTCTTTTTTTATTACTTTTGTTATCACCAGATGAGGTTTGCCCTGCATCTAATCCTTCTGCTTGATTGTCTTTATAGTCATCGTTGATGGAAAGTATAATAATCAATGGATAACAGCTTCGAGGTGATGTACCCAACATTTCTGGAGTGATTGGTTCATCAGCTGCTATCGTTCGGGCAATTGATTCACCTATTGGAGGATCTATCTCCTCTGGTTTAGATGATTGTAAACAGTGTTCATTTAAGAATGTCCCACTTCTAATCGATTCTCTGATTTCTTTCCAATCTTGCTTCAAGGCTTGATGAAATTTGGTTACATTAACTCCCCAGTAACTGGAAAGTCGGAATGGTTTATCACCAGTTATTTTGACTAAAACACCATTTTCCAATTGTCCTTCTCGCGGTTGTTGATCATCCAATGCAAGGGTAAATGGATTCCTCAAAACGGTCATATCTTGAGGGATTGAAGGTTTAGGGTCAAACATTCTAATTGAGGATTGATCCATTGGTATTCTGTTCACAAAAAGTCTGATAAAAACAAATCAAATTAGTCTTTCAGGTGTAAAATAATTCACGTCACTTTTAAAAACTATATGGATGAGGTAAATATCAGTATTTATCTGAGTGAATCCCTACTTTTAATGCTCTTACTCACTCAAAGGTAACTAAATAGTTACCTGGTAAGATACTAACCTTAAAATTATAGCAGTCGCGGTGAAAAATATACCAACAATCAATAGGAAAGAAGGAGATGTAGTTTGCAGATCAAACCACAATGGAGTCCATAAGGGAAACATTACACATGAGAATAGGCATGTATTAACGTAAATCCGAGCACAGTTTGTTTAATACCAAACTATCTAAATATACTTCATTCACATATCCGATAAGGTAACATTTTTATGTACTGTTATTTAAAATCAAATATTATTCTATACAACAGAAAATACAACTTGCAATTGACAAGTAAACATAACAATTGCTAGGCAACAGGAAAATATACAAAGAACGAGGCGCCTATTAAGGCCATAAGTCTATCTAAATAAAACACAGGTAAATTTTCATTCTTAAACCTTTAATAATATATTGGATGTAATGGTCAAAATAATTTAAATGAGAAAATTGATTCATTTCAAATTGTTTTTAGAATCATCATCAGAAATGGATCGATTGGTGACATCAAGGAACGAAGAAGGATGGACAAAGTACATGTCAGCTATCACAGTATAATCAATACAAGTTACATAAAGTTATTAGTGTTACCATACAAACAACGGAGCCAAAATTGATTGTTTCATCGATTTTTCAAGCAATTAGATAAATTGAAATGTCCAGCATTATTGTTATACAATACCTTTACTATTCACTTAACATGTTCATCTTTAAACACAGAGGCCAAGCCATCACCAAATTTAGACATCTTCCCATAGTCAAAGGATTCACCAGAATGATAACTAAGCTCTTCATCCCATCGTCTATCTGCAAATACAGAGTCAATGATATAGAGAATGAGGTTAACAATTAAAGTGATTAGCCAAAAATATTGGTTCGGTTAAAATGTAAATGTTAAATGTACCTGTCCAGGATGGTGGAGTTGCAGGTGTTGATATAGCCCAAGAATCTGGTGGAGATGGTTTAACAATTGGGATTTCAACTTCCTGAATTGAAATTATATGAGTCTTTTTAGGCATCGGAGCCTGAGTTGGCGGTGGTGGTGGTGGTGGCGGAGGTGCAGGTGGAGGCTGAGATGGAACCATTTTGGGCACTTCAATGGCTACATATCGAGTTTGAACTTGTGGACGACAAGTACATGTACCTATTTGAAGTTGATTATTATCAATTTGATTGTTGGAGGTTCAACACTGTAACTTACATTGACTGTCTCCTGTAGCTGGTGGTAATCCTTTGGATCCAAAGAAACCAAATTTTTTGAAACATTGACCATCCAAAGTGAACAGAAATATAATCAACAAACAAACTATACTGAAATCCATTGATAAAGATGTCTTCTTCACTTGAAAATCAAATTATCATGCAACTTAAATTGAAATTAAATTGAATTTTGTTTGAACATAACTTTAGCTAATCCAATCTTCTGTTGTTCATATTACTTGGTGAATGATTAAACTAATGAGAATCTCAAGAGATTAGCTTTAATTTTGGGTAAAACTTCCGTATTGAAGATCATTCATGTTGAAAGTAGTACTTCTTTTGATCAAATTAATGCTCTTAATCAATTATTATTAGCTCAAATGATTTCATTTTTTAATCTCTTCACTTTCATGGTTAATAAATAGTGTTTAGCTTTTATTGTCAACTATTTTCATTGTTAATGCTATTCAATGAGGTTACATTTGTTAAGTCATTGAATATCCATTTCACGGTTTGTTATGTTTTTTTAATACAACAGCCCATTAACACAAATCTAATTACACACACTGATTATCTGATGCGTTTAATTTTCAACTCCGATTAAAGCCAATACTAGAAGAAGGGCAATAAGAATCAATGGTTAATCAGCTAGCGAGATCATTTTAAATCATACAACCTAACTTGAAATAAGGCATGACCAGTAAAGCTTTTGACGAAACCAAATTATACAATTTTAGTTTGATTGGATGTTAATTTTTCTTAATTGTGATGATAAACTCCTCGATTTAGCTTAGTGATGAGTCGGGTCATTGATTATTTAACTTCGATCCAAATTTTAGCCATTTTACAAGATCAACTTTGAAATTACAAATTGTAACACAAATTACAAAAAAATGAGAAAAATAGTGTTTCTGTTATTTTGTACAATCAATTCGCATTGAAAAAGAACTGATCTAAAAAGCAAATGAAAAAAATTGCTATGTTTTCTGATAAGATGTGAAATTGGACCGACGATCTGAATTATCATAGATAAGTTTGATTTCAGATTAAAAATTTTAATTCAAGACATAAATTCGGGTTTCTAGCTTTTTAAAGTTTCTTTTAGGGCGCCCTTGTATTTAGAAAGCTTAATGCTGCTCTCTGGTGGAGATTGAAATGTAATTTTTCCATTTGTTTGGTAAAACTGAATTTTTTTTTGGATTACTGAATCGTTTCAACTTTAAACTTTCAAGTGGTTTTTATTTGGACTGTCCAGGAAAATTCATCCAAGTTGGACTACATCTACAAATTTGAATCTTTCTGTGTAAGGATCTTAGTTTATTGAACAAAACTGTTTTATATCGCTTTTTATCACTTTGCTATCTCTCTGATTTATAAATCAAGTTTTTAGACTTCACTCTTTTTATTTGTTTTGGTGCCTTTGTGTCTTTCAATCTCGGTTTAGGATCTTTTTTCTTTCCATAATCATGAGTGATCTAGAGAATTCATTTGAAAAAATTGAAGATGTTGATCCAGACATCATTGCTGAAGAACAAAATGTTTCGCCTGCAATTGAACATGATATTGAATTAGAAAATGAGCTGAATCATGTTAACCAAGAAAACGGAGAAAACCTTGACGCTGGTTCTACTGATTTTACAGATAACTCAAACTCTGTTCCAGCTGATAATTTAACCAGTAACGGACTCGCCAATGAAGTTAACGGTGATAAGGAGCCTATTAAAGAATCAGAAAAGATCCGAAAATGGAGAGAAGAGCAAGAAAAAAGGTTAAATGAAAAAGATGAAGAGGAGAATAAGAAAAAGAAGGAACTTGCTGAACAAGCAAAGAAAGAATTAGAGGAATGGTACTCTCGTTGTGAAGAGCAATTAAATAAATCAAAAGTAATCAACAGGTAAGTCTGGTTAATTAAAATAACAAATATTCACAGCTTCCTCGGTTTTGGGAAATCAGCCGGTGTAATCTAAATAACATTCTAATCTCTATCTGACATCGATTTTCTTTCATCTTATGCTGCCTGCTTATCAAGGGAGGCTTGCAAGTAGGTATCCTCTAACATACTAACTTGAAATCATTAATAAATCACCAGCCTTTAATCATTTTTATAAACTGCCACTTGGTTATAAGATTTAATTTATTACTTTTTATTTTCTCTGAATGATAACAGGAACGCTGAAAAAGAGTGGATTGCTGAAAGAGATGCCGAATCACCTGAACAAGAATGGGAAAAAATCGCTCGCATGTGTGATTTCAATCCAAAAGCATCTCGTAACTCAAAAGATACGTCAAGAATGAGATCGATTTTACTTCAATTGAAACAACAACAAGCTCAAGAAAAATCATCTTGAATCATTTTCCTTTTTATAATTTTATTATCACAACCAGCAAGCGTGATTAATTTGAATCATCATCATCTTGCTGCATTTACTTCTAATTTATCACTGACAAAACACCTATCAGAAAGTAAAAACTATATTGCGCCTTATTTCAAGACCACCAAAAGTCTTCTGATACAGTATACTACTGTAGTTTAGTACCATATAAATGGAAATTTCAACCGATGGAGTCACCCGTAGCCAAAAATCTGTGTTCAGCACATTTCTGCAATTATTCACCAGAATACATTTTGACAGGATTGGTTAATGACAAAGTGCCAAGTAAAGAAGCTTCTTTACTCTTTGGCCACTATGAATCACCCAACCAACTAATGAATTGAATAGCTTTGTGGACCAAGTTCATAGCAGTATTTTAATCGACTTGAGATGTTTCAGATTATTTTTTACTATCGCTAGATTTTTCTCCCCAAACATCAATCTTTGTTTTCGCATTTAAATATTATTTACGATAAAATGTCTTTGATAATTATAATCAATCTTTTCCTTACTTTATGATCTGAAATTTTTGTTTTTATGAAAAAAACACGTTTTGTTTCTATGGGTTTATTTTTCAACGTTAAGATATTGTCACTAGTGTGATACCTGATCACTATGTGTAAATAGAAGCCATTTAATTGATAATAAAATAATAAAAACAGTGTTAGGAAAAACATATTTTACATCATTAATTTTTGCTTGATTCAATTTGCGTGCTATATTAATAAATCAATGTGCAGATATTTTTACGTTGAAACCTACAAGTCGACTTCAATGAAACATTATTTGTGTTAATTAACTGAATATGTTAAATTAAGTAGTTGAAGCAGGTTAGACAGTTCCAAACATTAAGCATATTCCAGTATCAAATCATAATCAAAAAATGACTCCAAAATGTAACAAAAAGTCTGATCAGATCATGTTCATCCTTGCAACAATTTTGTCAAAAAATATTTGAAGTAAACATTCAGAATTCATGAATTCAAGACTTTAATTAAGGTTTGAATGTCTATTGAGATCTCAGATGCTTATGGTTTTATAATAAAATCATTTTTAACACAACAATGGCCATTCAACGGTATTTTATTAAAATGCATGCTTTCAAACCGTCCAGTTATTAAGTGAAATGTTTCGCTTTAAGCTTGGATTCGAGATGAGTATAATCGTTGATGATCCTCTTTTTGCTTAAGCATAAATCCATAGCCAATTGCTAAAATAATCATGATCAGATAGATAATGAAAATTGACGGATTAAATGTCGGAGAAAATAAAGAAACCATATTTATGAACATTAATATGGTGGCGTAAGTATAAAGACATCGACGATTCTCCTTGATTGCACCAATAACACCTAACATATGGAGGCCAATAAACATCATTAGAGTGAAAACGACAATAGACATCGGTAGTCTAGTGTATAATCGAGCTATCACAGTACCATTAATTGTATATGGTTCCATTTCTCTCTGTCCTTCATCGTAAACATAGAAACCAAAGATAACAATTCTTTGAATAATTCGTCCAAGATTAAAAACAACTAAACATAATTTAGCAGTGAAATAAGCGTGAGCTGTTTCACCCATTTTAATTGAACTTGATTTTTGATACAAAATAATTTACCGTGTGAATGAAACTGTTAAAAATTAACAAAACAATTACTTGGCTTCGAATTTGTTTGTTTTCATTTTGAGGATTGGAATTGTCATGGCATTCCATGAGTGTGACTGTTCTGACTCAATCAAAATATCTTGTATTTGGAAGCATCGAAAAGATCAAGAAATTAAAATTGATAAGACTTTTGCCCTCGCTTCGAGCTTAAACAATGAAAATCTTAAATTCAGTAATCTAACATACAGCTACACATACTTATGATACATAATTTTTGCAGTTGAATGATAAGACAATCTATTAATATATTTTATGTATTCAGTGATTAGATTGATCGGGACCTTCTAAATGTTATTGTTTTACTATTATAAATGTAATCAAGAGTATCTCTTCCTCCCGATACCGAGTATTTGTCTAACGGATACTTGAATCATACAATGATTAGATATTTGTGATTAACAGGATACAGATTATTAGAAAATGATTTTATTTCTGGTCAAATTCAACCTTATCTGAGCAAAAAATTACTCATGAGTTGTTGGCCTGGTTTAGACAATGGAAGTTTTTAAAATGATGAGTGTCCGGGAATTTCTATTGAGAAATATACGAGGTAAAGATTGATTTTGATGTACAAAAGGAAGATGAAGAGGTAATCATAAGGCCAAAGCGTCTTTGATTAATTTTTTGAGACCCAAATCGTTGTTTGTTAGATTTGTAGATGCATTGGGTCCCTCTCCTATTCGGTGGTGAATCTACGAAAAAAAGAACATAAGGAATTAGAAAAATAATTCAATTTACTGAAATAATAAAACATACTCTGTGTAAATAAGGTTGAGCATCATCAAATGATACATCGAAGAAAGCATCAACATTGTCCCTATCAGGCATTTGAGGTGTTATACATCGAGCACCATTCACTATTTGAATGATTGATATAACTTTGTCAAGTATGACTTCCTCTAAATTTAAAACTTCTGGCTTAGCTCTGTCGTCAACTGTAAAAACAAGAAAAAAGAGGAAAGTTAGACAAGTCACCGAGAAAAGGTGATAGTAAAATTAACTGATTCGATAACTTACCACAAATTATTTTAAGGTTCCATATTTCCCAAACTAGGTTAGAATCAGTGAAAAATCCCATTACTCCAGAGCTCTTCTTTTTTTTGTAAAATTCAATCGTAATAGTTCCAACTTTTTCTCTACTATCTCTTAGTTTTTCCACAAATTCTCGAATTTTACTGTTAAGAGAGTTTATGATACTTGGAGAAGCACATCGAACCTAAAAATTTATACGAGAAAGAAAGTAAATTCAATTAGAAATATAAAAGATTCAAAAAGTAACCAATTGCTGGATAGAGCTGTGATTGTGAGCACGTGGATATTTCATTGCCATATACAATGTAATTAGGGCAAGATTAAACGAAAACCCATCAGCACACTTTTCATCGTAATTAGTAATAAATCTAAATACAGATAGATACTCACATAGCTGTAATCAATAAAATCACATTGAACATCTTCATAACCCAACGAGCCAACGGAATAGCTTATATCATCCTTATATGTAACCTGTGATCATTTGGGAACATTGAATTGAAAAATTAGTTAGAGTAAATCAAAACACTACGAGTCTAAAGGATATATGAATAGATAACAAGCCTTACCTTTCCTGTTGTTCGGTAAAAAAGAATTGTATGGAAAATAGCTGACACAACATCATTTATCTGATGACCAGCACATTTCTGTTGAATAAAAAAGAGGTAAAATGTTATTGTAAAAAATGATAGGATTGAGACACAATGTGGAGACAAAACAAAGAAATGGAAGGGATATGTTTGCGAGAATGTAAATGAAGTTCACATGATAAAAACAAAACATGTTGATTTACTCACAATTTCAAATGTATTGGATCGCGCATTCATATCAGTAATTAAAAGAATATCTTAAAAGAACAAAATAAATTAGGAACAAAAATGTAAAAAGTAGCTTTTAGTAAAATCAATGGGCATTAAAAAGAAAAGGTTAACATCACTTTCTTTTTTTGTTGTTTCATGTGAAAAAAATCTAAGCACAATGAACAAGAAATGAACAGCTTTTTGTTTATTAATAATAAAATCAAAAAAGTAAACAATCAGTCAGCTGTTCTTTTACCTGTTAATGCTCAGTCGCATTAGAAAATCAAAAATTACACTGATTTAAATTAAATATAAATGCGTGTTATTTCACCCAATCATCTTATCCAAATAGAGATTAAACAACTGTTAAAGATAAAAATGGAAATGTAAATCTTAACCTTTACCATTAATTGGACATTCTCATCTTTAACAGTTGATTAATCTCCATTCGGATAATATAATTGGGCGGATTAACACGCAACAATTTTTATCTTACCCTTTCTAGGCACAAAGGTTGTTTATTGCTATTGTTAGCTCTTCAAGAATGAAATATGGTGGACACAAGAAAGAGGGTAACTCAACTGACCATAGTCCATCCGAGTCCTCAAGCAAAATTGTAAACAAACAACATCGATGGCGACTTTTTTCCGAGTTTCATTTTCAAAAATGGATTGACCGATTCGGGTAAAGCTTTTGTCGAGACCTTTAGTCTAATGATTCTTTTGAATTAATCATCTCGGGAAATTTCATTTTTATCAATATCATCCATCAACTTGACCCAATCCAATGATGATGAAATCGACGAGCAATTCGTTTTCATTATTGAAATTATTTATAAAATCTAAATTTTCTCATGTACTTTTAGGTCAGCAGATCGTTAATAGTTATTTTAGCTTTAGATAATCTATCCAGAAATTAATCAACATTAAACTGGAACTATTTCCCTTTCATTAGGGCATTTCCAAAATTAGTCGAATCTAATATCACCATACAAATAATTTAGCAATTTATAATTAAACAAATTGCTTTAATTTAACTTCAAGTTGTTTTGAAGCCATGTGCTTAGACATGCCCGTTACAGAGTTATCAGTAACCTGGCTTTCTTTTCGCTTGAAAAGTCACCAGTCTGAGTACAATGGACCCAGTTTGGGTTTACAATTGAATGATGAAAAGGTTTTGTTTTGGTTACATTTTTGTTATGGGTTTACATTTTGTGTGAATTATTGTTTGAAATAGTTAGAGAAGGTGGTGGTTATATGAGAGTGGTTTTTTTCTGTTTTGTTTCGGTTGAAATCTTATTTTTTGGGATTTGTATTAGGTTTGAATATGGTAAGATTGAAGGTATGTTTTAGTGGCAAATTTCTTTAAGTTTTTGATTTTTTTCTTTGAGTAAGTCTGTTAGTTTTTGAATGCATTCAACTCTTTGTTTGTCTGCTAGTCCTGGTCCTGTGAATCGCCATCCATTTGGTATGTTTGTTCTGATCTCCTCCGTTGATTTGCACTTTTCCAGATAGTGTTGTAGGTCTTTTTTCTTGGATTTTCTGTGGTTAAGATCTCGGTGGGCGATGGTTAGGCTGGTTAAGAGTTTAAGTAGCATGTAAATACTTATTCCTCCAATGCAACCATACTTTGAAACGTCGAGGCCGTATCTGAAGAAGTGATTGATCGTTGAATTCTCCGAGTTGTATTGTTTTGAAATGAATTCATTTATTTTTGTTTCTGAGTTCTTTTCAAACATTGGTATCGTTATTATGTTATTCTTTATTGTTGTTGTCTTTGCGGTTGATCGTGATATGTTATTTACCTTCGAGCATGAGATCCAGACATATTTGGCGTTCTGGTTCAGGAGGTTTGCTACGAAGCTAGCCGATGGTGAGTTCGGGTGTTTAACAATGTATTCAGGAATCACATAGGTTGTGGGTTTGTTCTGGGTTAGTTTTACTAAGATGAATATGGCTAAGAAGTGGCAGGCGTAGATGTTGGTTGGGTTGTCTATGGTGTAAAATTGCGA